TAGATACAAGAAAATTCTCCTAATGGTACTATAATTGGTACAATTCAAACAAATCCATCTAATTATTTAATGAATTTAATCGATGATGCTAATGGACGTTTTCGTCTTAATTCAATTGGTCAACTTATCGTAAGTACCTTTATTTATACATTCTTATTCTCTAAATCATAATCTAAATATAATATAATTATGTGGACGGAATTATATATATATATATTTCTTTTCTTCATTTTGATGTATAAAAAAAAAAAAAAGGAAGGAACAAAAAGAAAAAAGAAAACGATGTCTCCTTTCTATGGGCATTTAACATGTCACCGTATGGGTAGAAAGCCATGTACGAATATCTCGTCCTGTTGTATCCATCCACCGGATATTAGCTTTTATTTTTTCCACGGATGATAGAAAAGCACGTTCAGCTATTGATAAATCTTGTGTTTCAATCATAAATTGTTGAACAATATTTAATTCATTTTGTGTATTCATATATTGAAGTACATTTTCAACAATATTTGATAATGTAAAACTTAATCCACCTAATTTTGAAACTAATTCTAACCATCGTTTACTAATAAAACGCCAAGTTAATATTTGTCCACCTGGTTGTATACTAATACGACCAATAAATGTTGATGAATCTTGTAAACGTATATAATCATTACTTAATGTTTCATTAAGTAATGTTTCAAGTAATGTTACATTTCTTGTACATGTTAATGCAAAACCAAAACGATTTTTTTCAACTTGATCATTTGTTAGTTTATATTCATTTTGTATAAATAAATAATCTTCAACTGTACCATTTTTAATACCTTGACAATAGACAGTTGTACGAAAATCTGGATTTATTGGATGTGTTATTGGATTTTTACGCCATTGTCGATATTGTAATATTGCTTCTTGAATACATGGTTCATGACCATTTGAACATAAATCACTAATAATAAGAGAACGTAATTGACGAGATAAATAATCCGATGAAGTTGGAGCTATTGACCATCCAAGAGATTTATAAGCTGGTTCTTCTAATGTACGAATATAATTTTGTAATTGTTGATATTCAATAGTACTTTCATTTTGACCAAACATAACTGTTAAATATTGTATATTTGTTGAAAATGATGAAAATGGAATATAATTTAATTCATTACATAAATATGTTGATAATTCTAATGGTATACTAACTTTTAAATCTCCTGAACGTGTGAAACTAAATGAATCATCAATTAATTGTGCACGTGATACAGCAGGAATTTTTGATCGATCTTGTTTTAAAACATTTATTAATAAATTCCAATTTTGATTATCATAATTAACACGATAAAAACCAAATTCATTTATATTAAATAAAATCCAATCATTTGATGGTTCAATATTTATTAATTGATCAGTTTTATTTGGTGATAACCAATAAAATGCTGATAATTTTGAATTAATCATATAATCATATGGTATATACCATTGAAATTCTAATGGTTTAAATGGATTTATATAACTAGATGAATAATTTAAACCATTTGGATCAAGAAGAAAACGTTTTTGACTAAGTGTTAATGTATTATTATTATAATTACGTGTTACCATTAATACTGGATATCCTTCTTGTAATGTCCAAGTATCCATTATTTGTTTTACTGTATAACTACCAAGTGTAACTGGATTAGTAATATTTGTTAAAAATGCCCATAATTCATCTTGTACAGCATTGCTATATTTAAAATAATCTAAATAATTACTTATACCATGAAAAAATGTTGTTTCATTTAAAACAGAATATATCATACGAAGAATTGATGCACCTTTATCGTCTAAAAAATAAAATAATTGTTAGTTATAATATATTCAAATAGACTATAAAAAAGAAAATATTTACAAGAAATAGCATCAAATATTGAATTAATTTCATCTGGATGTGTTACTTCAACACTTATTGGATGACTTGAATAAAGACTATCCATAACAAGTGCACGTTGTACAGTTGCTATATAAATTAAAGAAAACACATATATACATATATATATATATATTATATTTTTCAATTCATATGATATATTTTACTTGTAACAAATATATCCAATGCTTCAAATTCTGGATTTGCATTATGAAGACCAAGAACTTCTACCCATGATGCAAAACCTTCATTTAACCTTTTAAAATACTATAAAAATAAAAATATTAAAAAATATATATAATGAATTACCAAATATCATTCCACCATTTTGGTGTAACAATATTTCCAAACCATTGATGAGCTATTTCATGTGAAACAACTTCACCAACACGAAGTTTATTTGCTAAATTGCCTGTTTCACTATTATACAATAGTGCCGTTTCACGATATGTTACCAAACCCCAATTTTCCATAGCACCTATTAAAAACCATATTTGAATTACTTATATAATTTTTCGTTTTTCTAATATTCTATTTACTTACCAGCTGAAAAATCTGGTATAGCAAAATGATCACATTTACTTAATGGATAAGGAACATTATATGATTGTTCAAAATAAGTTATAACATGTATTGCAACATGTAAAGCAAAATCTCCGTCACCTTTACTCATTGCTTCTTGTCGTCCACAAACACTAACACGAATATTATTCCATGTTTGATTTGTTATACATTGAAAATCAGTTAAAACAAATGCAACAAGATATGTTGACATTGGTGGAGTTTGTTCAAAACGTGCTAATAAACGACCATTAGGCAATAATTCTGGTTGATTATTATTTAACATTTCACCATTCGATCGAACAACTGTAAAACTTGGATCATAACTTATTGATATTGAAAAATTTGCTTTAAATAATGGTTCATCAAAACAAGGAAATACTTGACGTGCAATTGTTGGCTAAAAAGAAATTGAATTTTTCTTAAGAAAAACTATTAATCATATTTTAAATATGAATTATGGATAAAACTATTTTCTATTGTAAATGAGTGTTAAAAAAAAAGAAAAAGTGAATTTAGTATTTTAAGATTTTAGATGTAACCTTTTTTTTTT